AAAACTTCTTATCAGGGCCAAGACATCTGCTGATTTGTAAGTCTGTCAACAGACCAAATGGTACTGCAAATAAATCTAATGCTGCAAATGCAATGTCTAAGGATGCAGTGTTAAAAGACTGTGAGTGGGAATCTGTGCATACTGCTGCCGAAAATGTACAGGCATTAAAAAAAAGTGCCCATTTTTATTACAATGAGTTTCTGCACTACTTTTACAAAATAAGTAAAAGAGACCGCAGTTCCTACTGTAACAAATAAGACAATTGCTGAAACCAAGAATGGTTGTGCAGCTCTCCAAAGACTCAGAAAAACCCGTTGGAGGCGACTCGAAGAAAAGTGGCATTGTGGCAAGTGAGATCAGGGGATGAACTGACCACATTTTATCATTTCCTTTCACATTTTTAATTATTTAACTTACCGACTCGATGCTTGTACTGGTACTACTGTCTTAAATTCCAAACGCAAGGTTTTATAGACATATGATCCCACTGCAGGTTGTTTCAGTTGTTTTCCACAACTGTGTATTTGCGCAGTAATCTATGGTGTGAATGCTGCAAATAAATCAATACTAACATCCTTGGAGAGCCCAGCATAAGGTCTAGGCTTTCTAAACCAAAACTATAGACTGTTGCACACTGACCTATTTTGTTGATGTTAAAATAGATACAGTATACTGCGTGATAATCTAGTGTGCTCCACCTCAGAGCCCCCACTTTAGTTAGGGTGCCCAGAGCCTGGGTACTGAAATATTTATGGTTGGGCTCCAATTGCATTTAGTTCGGTATAGGTAAACTGTTTGCACTATGTGATCTTGAGACAAATTTAAAACAATATTCTACTGCATTTATTAAAAGTGATAATGTTGCAAGAAATGTTGCATTACTGTTTTTTCCTGGTTAAAAACTTCAAACTGCACTGCACTTATGTTCTGTCTGTTCCTTTTCTGGGGAGATACGCATATCGTCAGTAAGGCAATTACATGTATAAAACTCTAGCATTATCCCTAGAAGTTCTTCATTTTGTTCCCCTGTGACATACTGTAGGCAGCTTTAGATAGCAGTCTTTATCAGGAATGTTTTTAAGTGGAATGAAGACTAGCAATATTTTGCTCAAGAGAAATAACAGAAAGCAAGAAATCTAAGCCATGAATAGGAGAGAGTTTTGATTCTGGGATATAATCCTTTTATGGAGCAGGTGTCATCAGCCTTTCTGGGGCTGACCTCACAAATGAGCTCCAGGAATGCATTGGCTTACACCTGCTGCCCTTATACTCTTCTAATGCTGAACTCTGCCTCTTTCTGCTCAAGGCTCTTGCAAAGCGGGAGTCCAAGACACAAGCTGGTGAAGCAGTCCTCTGATCTGCCAGAGACTGCAATCTCTGCGTTCAACCCACCCAAAGGCCAGGATTCTCCCAGCACAGCTGACACAGCTAAGTCAAACACAGACAGCAAGGACAGTAAAAGTAAGAAATCACATGATTCTTTTACTTTTTCAGGGAACAAGTATTTATATCTAATTGCATGATGAGTGTTATCAGAAGCAAATAAGAATGCTGTATGCATCTGTGCTTTTAATTAGTATCCGCTTTAGATGTAGCGAAAAAATATATACTTCAATTTGAGTAAGAGGAAAGAAACAATTGTGCAGTGGTTAGTCCTGGGCCCTTGAGCCCTGGGTTCTGTTCTTGGGGTGCTATTTTCGTGGAGTTTGTGTGTTCTCCCTGTGTTCACGGGGGTTCCTCCCACAGTCCAAAGTCATGCTGGTAGGTTGATTGGCTTCTAGTGTAAAAAATGGCCCTGGTGTGAATGTGAATTGGATGAAGCAGTTAAAAAGTGGAAGGCTGGAAAAAATACCCCTGCGAACTCCTGGAGTACAAGAGCTCATGCTTACAATAGGTCAAAAAGATGGGTCTTTCCAAGTGGCTTAGCCAGCCTGTGTGATGTCACTAGCTGATTGTGACCAGGAGTTCTCAAACAGTCACTGTGGTATGGCACAGTTGATTCAGCAAAGTATTGATCTGAGTCCCTAGTCTTGTACTAAATATATTTTGCCAGATCTTTTTGATTTATCTATTTTTTTAATACGGGCATTGGTGCCAGGCTACTTTTTCTCCATCCGTTTGATGTATAATGGTTCTATTTGTGCTGTGAATTTGTAGAAATTTACCATTTAGCTAGAGCAGGGTTACAGTAGAAAAGGGGAGAAAAACAGGCTGTCCTTTGCCAAAATGAATTTGTCCATTCTAATCTTTCAAATAGGGCTTAGTGTAAGTTCTGAGAGAAGCAGGCTCTTACTAATGGTCTCATAATTTAAGGAATGTAATTAAAGCTGTTTTCTGCTCTGTTATTTTGCAGTTTTAGTATATAGCAGAATGAGCACACTGCAGATCCGAAGACCTATAAATGTATTGTAATGTCAGAGTGTTCACACAGCTTTTTCCACTTTTTGGGAATAGTTCTTGTTAACCATATCGGATGATTCCACTGATTTCTCAGGTGAGAAAAGGCTCACTAGTCCTCTGTACTGTAGATGTGAAGATCTGAATTTCTAAACTTGATAATGATGATGCAGTGAATATGATCACTGTTTCACTTTAGCTCACACTATTATAAAGCTTTTTAATGTGTGAAAAGGCATAATAATAATAACTTACACTTATATAGCACTTTTCTGGACACTCCACTCAAAGCGCTTTACAGGTAATGGGGACTCCCCTCCACCACCACCAATGTGCAGCATCCACCTGGATGATGTGACGGCAGCCATAGTGCACCAGAACACTCACCACACATCAGCTATTAGTGGGGAGGAGAGCAGAGTATTGAAGCCAATTCATAGATGGGAATTATTAGGAGGCCATGATTGGTAAGGGCCAATGGGAAATTTGGCCAGGACACCGGGGTTATACCCCTACTCTATACGAGAAACGCCCTGCGATTTTTAATGACCACAGAGAGTCAGGACCACGGTTTTATGTCTCATCCGAAGGACAGCGCCTATTTCCAGTATAGTGTCCCCTTCACTGTACTGGGGCATTAGGACCCACATGGACCGCAGGGTGAGCGCCCCCTGCTGGCCCCACTAACACCTCTTCCAGCAACAACCTTAGTGTTTCCCAGGAGGTCTCCCATCCAGGTACTGACCAGGCTCACACCTGCTTAGCTTCAGTGGGTTGACAGTTGCAGAGTGATATGGCTGCTGGCCAACTAAGTGTATTGGGATTGGCATGATTAAATTTGGTTCCATTCTTTCATAGGTGTATAAATATTTTATTTTTCCTTCTAATTCATGCACAAGCTCTACGTACATGTTCCTGAAACCCATCATAACGCAAACATAACACACTCAGCCCTTTAATCTCTATGAAGGCCCTGCTGACAAGAGCTTAGACTTCAATGTTGCTCAGTCCTGGCAGCTCCTTTTTGTCATTCCCCCCACCTCATGGCTGGGCTGCCCCAAACAACACCTGTGCAAGATTACTGTTACAGTGCTTGAGCCAGAGCGTTGCTGTAAATGTGCCTTCATAAAAAAAGCAAATTGTAGCCATGGGCTATAGGCTCACCCTGCAGGAGAAGTTCAGCAGGGTGTTGGTCACTGACAGAGTCTCTGTGGCCTGTGGTCTCAGCAGGTCCAGCCTCTCTCTCTCCGCTGGAGTCCCGGATGAAGCAGGACAGGAACGGCTTCCAGGACCAGCAGAGAGAGCGTGTGGTACAGGAGGCGCAGGAGGAGAGGAGGCTCCGGAAGAAGGTACGCCTGACTTTCTCGTCCCTCGTCCCTGCTGGCTGCCTTGGCTCCTTTGTCTTGCTGACCATCCGCTCTCCTGTCTGCTGCAGGAACGAGAGCTGGTGCTGAAAAGGATTGCTGATGACCGGAGAAACCAGCAAGAGAAATCACAGCCCCACGGCCAGCAGGAGTCCTCTCCTTCACAGGGGCAGCATCTGGGGGGCAGGATCCAGACCAGTGTGGACAACCACTGTCTCCTTATGGTAAGAGTTTCAAACCTCCATGGTTTGAAAAGCTGTTTACAGCCAGGATAGAGACATTGCCAGGGTCTCAGATACTCAACGAGTCATCTTTGTCCCTGCTGTGACCTGTGCAGATCCGCCTGCCGTCGGGCGAGTCAATGAGGGAGCGGTTTCCTGCTGATGCTCCTCTACGCAGTGTGGTGGAGCACATTTCGGGGCGCCACCCTTCTCTGGCGGCCTTCTCCCTTCTCCAGGGGTATCCCAGGAAGCGCTTTGGTGAAGCAGAGCTGGCTTGCTCCTTGCGTTCCCTGGGGCTGACACCAAACGCTGCACTCTGCATCCAAACCACACCCCCAGAAACCCCCCTGGAGCCCCTGCATCCTGCAGCTGGAGAGAGGGAGGAGCCACAGAGAGACCAAACCGGGCCCCAGCTGGAAGAGAGTGACGAGGAGCAGCTCTTGCCTCCCCCAGCCCTGCCTTCCCCACTGTGGGAGCGGGCAGTAGAGCATGCTGGGTTACCCGGCCTGGGCCCTCCTGTTCCTGGGCCTTCTCATCACTGGGGTTAGTCTCAAAAGCTATTGGACTTGCGATTATTTTTGCTGTACACAAAACTGGATTAGTCTTTCATTTTCCTTTGCTATTAAACAGCAAATCAAAACGGTTCAGACAAATGCAAATTAGATGTTTTTTAGAATGTATTTTCTCAGAGAGAAATCTGAATAGTGGGGTAAACAGCATAAAGTTGAAGTGGAGATGATGTGGTGTGTCAATAATTCCTTAGCAAATGTTGTGGCTGTAATATTTTCTCAGTAATATTTCTTTTTGTTATTATGACACAGATAATATTGCACTTGACCTAATAGTGCAGTTAACTTTTTTCCATTACGGAACATGTTTGGGTGACTTTGGCCTCTTATGTGTAAAGGTGTTTGAAATGTTGAAGCAATTAAGTAAGTTAAAGTTTACTGTATATTTCTCAGTAAGGTTTTCAAATAAATGTTTGGACAGTGTCTCAGTATTTATCAGGATCTATTGTTTTCCAGCTAGATTCTCATTGGAATTTTTATTTTCTGTTTATATTACAAAGTAAAATATACTAATATTCCTATAATTATATAGGAGGATTTAGAGCTCTCTGGATTTTGTTAATTCCCTATAACCCTTTTCTTTGTTGTTGTCTGCTGGTGGCTAGGCTTGTTGATGGACAGAGGGATATGAGATAACATGGTTGAGATGGCTGGCACTGTTACTTGGGTGTTGTTTTGTCTGGCAGGCAGGGGCCAGAAGCTAGTGACTGGTGATGCAGAGCGGGAGTCCAGCTCGGGGGAGGACGAGGGGGAGAGATCAGAGGAGGAGCTAGAGGAGCCACCGTTCCCCTTTCCTGGTAAGACACTATGTTTGCTTGCCTTTGCCCTTTCCCCGTGGTAATTTACCAGCAGCCACTCAATCAGTTTTTTACTTTTATTTAGACTTTAACACTGTAAATGTACATTGATGTGCATTCAGAAGAAGCAGAATAACATTCTGTAATAACTCAGAAGCATGTTGCAGGCTGTCTGAATAGGAAATGGGTTGATCCTCAACATTGCAGTATTTGTTCTGGGTATTGCAGATGTCTGGACTACTGGAGTGTTTAAAAGCCCCCCTTTCTTGTTTGTGAGCTCTGCAACAGCAATCTTGTACATGTCCAGTGTTAACCGCAGGCTTTGTCAGAGAAGCACAAGAAAGAAGAACAACTAATAAAAATGTAATGATTTTTATCAAATCAGAATCATGTCAAAGTTTTGTTTTCATAGTGCCTTTTCAAAATGTATTTCCAGGATTAATTGAAATATCTTAATCCTGGTGATTAGGAGGGTTGTTAATATCCCACAAATAGGGTTCCTGTGGTAATACAAAACATGCGGAAGGTAAAATTAGCATTGACAATGTCATCAGACCCTTCTTTTATATACTGTATTAACTAAGTGACAAATTTGAGAAAGCTCTAATCATATATTTGAGACATACAAAAAGTGAATGTAGGAAGTGTTAGCTTTTTTAAATGGTTGCTAGTGAATTACCAGGATGGTCTTGAGTTTTTTGTGGCTGTGAAGGAGCTCAGTATAGCCAGGTTTGACCTTGCTGTTCCCAGCAGGGTTACCAGTGCTGCCGTTCATCCCCGGGAACCGGCCACACGCTGCAGTAGCACCACAGTATCGCTGGCCTGACCAGGGCAACCGGCTTCGGTGAGCAAATCAGCCGTGTTCTTTTTGAGTTTTCTGGGCTTCTGGTATGGTTTTAGACCATGACTTGAGTATTCCCATATGTTGATTTTAATCTTAGCCTTCAATAGCATTTTAAAAGCTAAAAATATGAGCAACCTTGCATTCACCAGAATTACAAGATGAGAATTGCAATCCTAATGGAGGGTGTTATAGCAGGGTTAACAGATCCAGTACCTTGCAAAAATGCCCCAGAGTCTCCACCTTTTGTTGCCATCTGAGCTTCGCAATCATGACACACAAGTAGGAGCATACAGTTAAAATCTTCACAAGCTACTCCAATCTGATAAACCTAAATATTATAAATATAAATAAAATTAGATTTTTAAAGAAAATTACAAGATTCTCAGTTGCATAAGTATTTAGCTTCTTTTCTAAATGGTTCACTGCCTTATAGCACTGGGGCCCTGGGTTCAATTCTGTATATAGGATGCAACGTGTGTGTGTAGTGTATGTATGTTTGTATGTTCTCTGCTTGTTGATGTGGGTCTCCTCTGGGTGCTCTGTTTTTTTCTCCCACAGTCCAAAACATACTATATATGAATTTGTTTCTGGGTAAATTATCTGTGTGTCTGCCCTGTAGTGGACTGGCATCCCATCCAGGGTGTACCCCTTTTATACCTGTTGCTTGCTGGGATAGGCTCCAGCTCACCTGTGGCCCTGAATTGGAAGAAGCAGTTAGTAAATGATGGATAGAAGAATAGTTTGAAAGGTCACGAAATTCAAAGTAATTTAATTTGCTTTTAGATTACCTTTATCTGTCTCTGTAACATTCCTCTGATAGATATTTAATTCCAAGCCACATAGTGACTAAGTGATATGACATATAAACCATGCTTTCAATGGCTTTCATACAACACCTGGATCAAGCTGGTAGAGACCTATTGAAAAAGGACTGAGTGCCAGTAATTGCTGGCAAATGTGCTTCCACCAAGACTTAGGGGGCTGAATACTTATGTTGTAAATTAATATTTATATCTTGGGATTTTGCTAAAATTCAGTCTGCTTTGCATATAATAGTGCTGAATATGGTTGTTATGATTTTGAATAAAAATGGTTGATTTGAAAAAACAATATATTTGTGTTTAATTGCAGTATGATGATATTAGTAGGGGAGTGGATACTTGTGAGAGACATGGTATTATGAAAGAAATTTAGTCCTATTTATGATGTTCAAAGTCTGAGCACTACAGAATAGTAATTAGAAGATTTTGCATGTTGTTGTAGTAGAGAGTAATTGGAAAATTAAGCATCCTCGTCAGAGGGCTCAGAATTGATTGCTGAAGCCAATTTAAGAGTAGGACCTTTTTGCACCATGTGATGCTGGTCATGAAGAGGTCATGAATGCAGAGTGGTCTTGAGAAGTGTGGGTGAGAGGTGGCTGTTTAATGTGTCAATTTGTCCAGGAACCAGGGGCCCCATTGTGTCGCTCTCTGCACACCTACAGTCTGTGCTGCTGTTGCGAGGACAAGCAGCTGTGTGCAACAGCAGCTGCACTGTCCAGTCCATCACTGGGGTTGCTCTCCCATCCATCCAGGACATTTCTGACAGACGGTGCCTGAGGAAAGCTCTAAGCATCATCAAAGACCCCACACACCCCAGCTACAGACTGTTTGACCCTCTAACCTCTGAAAAAACGGTACCGGAGCATTCGGGTCCAGACTACCAGACTCAGAGACAGTTTTTACCCCCGCTATTAAAACTATTAAACTCCCAGCCTCTTTCATCTAACCTACCCTCACAGTGCCTTCTCTCTTTATCAAAACTCAAACACACATTGAAATGTACCTCTACCTCACATGTCAAGAAGTTCACTCCCCATAATTTTCTATCCTTTATTTCATTCTGTTGATGTATGATTTTGCACAACTGATGTTGTTTTGCACATTACCAGTTGTCTTCGTCTTTCTTTTCTTATACAATTGTTTTGTTGTTTTTTTTGTATTGCTTACCGTCTGAGAGCTAGCTAAATAGCATTTCGTTATACCATATACCTGTGTACGAGTATAATGATGATAAACTTGAACTTGGATCACCTGCAGCTGACTGTGGGCCGTCTGTGCTTGTCTCAGGGAGGGAGCAGAGGATGTGCCTTTGCCAGCAGGGGGCGTGGACAGACAGGTGGTATCGGGGGTAGCAGGCCAGGCTGCAGTGGAGCGGCTCCAGAGGGCGGCACAGCAGGACGACTCGCCGGGCACTGCGGGGCAACCTTCCCCCCCAAAGAGGCCCTTCAGGACCCCCAGCGTGCAATCCCTCTGCACTTTGGCAACCCGTGCCACCGTTGCACTCATGACAGGTCAGGGGGTGTCTCGTGTCGGCCCACTACACCTACTCTGTCTGCCCGAGGAATCTCCTGTCTGCAGTCGGGCAAAAACACAGGAGCTGAAGTGTTGCAATCATACTTGGAGTTCCTCACTTTTGGAAGAATACTAATTACTAAGAATTGCAAAAGTGAAAGTGCATTAAAGATTTCTGCTGATTTCTTTTGCTATATATAGTGTTCAGGAGTACTGCTAAAATCGGCATTAGATGTGAATTTCATACTTTCATAAGTTCTCACTTTTCATAGTGAGAAGGCAATCTTATTTCAGAAGAAAACATGGTATATGTGCTTTGCCTTAGCCTGTAGCCTGACTTTGTAACAAGTCCTCTCTGTGCTGAGAATGTTTCAGCCAGTCAGTTTCCACAGAACCTCTTTTGGTCTTTGTTTGTGCTGTATAGTCCCAAAAAATGATTTCCAATTCTCAGCATACTTATGGAAATTGTAGTTTCTTACCATAATTCCCTCGTCTCATTGAAACTACAGGAGGATTAATATTTTCCAATTCCATGTTTTGTGAAGCATAAGGTATACAAAGTAGAAACAAATGAATAGGTATTTCACATACACTGTATCTTAATGAGTGAACTCCTGGCTTACTTAGTGCAAATAGGAGTTAGTTACAATCTAGTGGTTAAATACAAGTAAACAGGGACTGACTTTGGGCAGCACTGTCTTTTTAATGATTAGAAAGTTTATGAGTTTGGTCTTCACCATGCAGGTTAGTGAAAAAGCTCCAGGTATGATTAAAAAAAATTTCAGAGGACCTCAGAAAAGGAGTTGCTGAAGCTCTTCGGCCCAGAAGTGATTTTGGAGATTCATGGTCAGACAAATATACATGTAAAACATGTAAGACTATGGTGGCTTCACCCAGTGCTGGCTATCCTACCAAGAGCAACCCAGAAAACCAGGAAAAACCCCAGAGTAACATCTATGTCTGCAGTCCTCTCTCACGGTGGCTAATGTCAATGGCCTCAACCTCCGGGGGAAAAAACTGAATGCAAATGTTTGAGATAGGAATGTAGCTGAGAATAAACCATTGCTCTAAAGAAAACTTTTGACATTTATCTTAGATTATTCAAAGACCGAAAGTCGATGCAGGAGACATTTTAAAAAAAGTGACAGGAATCATTTTATTGTTTCTCTAATTATCTTTTTGGTCTATATTATATGAGAATGTGGAGCAGTCTATGGGGTTCATAAACATTTATTTGGCGCTGTATTTTAAACTCTGTGCAAATCTTTCTCCAGTTGAAATTACACTATATAGTTTCCTGTTTTGTGGCCTTTCTTATTGGAATCATCTTGGAATCATCTTCTCATCTCAGTAAGTCCTCCGGTTGAGGACTTGAAGGCTGCAGCACCTTTTCCTCCCTATCCCAGTGAGAAAAAGATTTTCTTTTTCTGCATTTGTTCACACACTTGTTCTTGCACACACAGATACTGTATGTATTTCTGTCTCATGCCTAGGCTCTCTCTTTCTCAGCTCCTAGTATGCAGTACAGCAGCAGTCTGTCGTGTCTGACCCCGGAGCTGGCTGAACTCCTTCTCACCCACATGTCTCGAGAGCGTCTCCTGCGGCCGCGCTGCCTTGAGCTCTTCTTCGGGTGTCCAATTCAGAAGTTTGTACTCAACTGCTACCCGTATTCCACCAATGAGCTGCTCAGACAGCTGCGTGCCTTCACTACCCTCAAACACCTCAGCTTGGTCTCCTCACCCCTCATTACAGGTACACAGCAGGAAACATTTGCTGAGAGCAGAAAAAGTATCACAATTTGGGCCCTGTGTAGTGTAAGTCTGCATAAATGGTTAAAGGTTTCTCTTCTTGATAGGAGCCTTAGGTGTGAGGGGGCATCAAGTAGTCACAAAGCTGCTGATATTGGACAGAACCACCTTCTGCTTTCCTAAAACAATACTGTCTGTGATTTGTTGGAATCATCTAGTATCTATTAATCAGTGTATTTTGCTTATTCAAGTAATTAGTTAAGGTCTAAAATGGAATTAACAACAAACATGGCTCTCAAAGACTAGGGTTGTCTACCTTTGCACTATAGTTGGGTTTAGTTTATTGGGACCAGGATTTTTCAGGGTTCAGTTACTGCTCACCGGTTGAAAAGAGGGCATGCTGGAAAATTGACATCTGTTTCCACTTAAGTGGCCTTAACTCACTGGTTGCTTTTGGTGTTGAGGTGGCTTGTGAATTGGACCTTGCCACATGAGCTGCAGTCAGAATTAAGTTATCATATTTCAGGGTATTTTCCAGCTTCCAGACTGCACAATCAAAATTAGTGAAGTTGACTACACACCAAAAGACCAGGCAATCTGCATGTGCAACTCCTGTGCTCATCTCGCACACTAAGGGTACTATCGCACACAGTCGGGGGAAAGCTGTTTTGTGCAGTGAATATCCAAAAGTGAGGACTGTTCTCTCCAAAACAGTCAACGATTGCAGGTCGACAATTCAGAGTTTGTGGAACAGCACTGTGTATAGAAATATATATTTAAATGTCACATTGTGTGAACATTTAACATTCAGCATCTGCTGACATTTTCAAAGATGAAGCACTTTTTGCTAATATTACTCAAGACAAAATGTTCCTATCTTCAGTTAGCTGAATGCACACTGATAACAGATAGGGATTTGTAGTTATAGAGAGGGAGGTTATCCGAGTCCTTTATTTTATGGGCTAGGCTTTACTTTTATTTACAAGCAGGTTGTTATAATGGAGTTTGTACTGATACTTATACTGCTACTGTACAGTGCTTTCTTCATACAGTGCTTTATACAGGTCAAACCCTATTTTGTGTTGGGTCTTGGTCAACATGGGAATTCAGTATTGAGGGTTTGAGGTAGGCTGAAGTCTCTCTGTTCATTCCAGATTTAGGGCTGTCTGTCCTCTCCAGCCTGCAGAAGCTCCAGCATCTCAACCTGGCTGCCTGCAGCAAGCTGACTGATTCCTGTCTCCAGTATGTCACAGGTAAACTGGAACCTTTGTCTGCTGTTTATCACAGAAGCACTTTTGCAGCTGTCTCAGACCTTGAAATGGGGAGTATCTTGGAATAGCTAGCAACCAGAAAGCATCCATACATCCAGAGCACTTCAGGCCTGCTTTGCCCCCTCTACCATAGCTGGTTCAGATCCTTTGATACGTAAAGTATTTTTTTATCTGTATACTGTACAGTATCACTTCCCTTTCCAAAAATTCCCTTTCCAAAGAATCCAAAGTACTCATTTAACCTTTGACTGAAGTGCAGCACCAACCTGGATAATATACTTTAGCCATTCTGTGACAACAGTGCCACTACACTGCAGATCAGAAGAAGTGAAACATTGCTATTGAATAGAAGGGGAAATTTAGGGAGGATGGATTGGGAAAGCCCATAGTAGGCTTTAACTAGGACACAGGAATTAACACACCTTCACTTACAAGCCCTGCCGTGGGATGCTTTATTTAGTTGGGTCCTTGGTTTAAAGTCCTGGTCCCTATAAAGGGACATTGGACCAGCACATTAAGATAAAGCATGCTATGTTCTTACTGATCAATATTTTAAAATGCAACTTGATGATGGGTTCAGTTTTCATACAAATTAATAATAAGATGTTGACTGTGTGACCCATGTTGATCAGTGTTTTTTCTGTAATCCTCTTCCTTGTTTCATTAAGGCCTGAAGTATCTCTCCTACCTGTCTCTGGACAGTACTAAAGTAAGCGATTTGGGGATGGTGATGTACTTGAAGTCGGCCCCCTCTTCGCTCACTCAGCTCAGTCTGAACCAGACGGGGATCACCGAGGCCACCCTGGTGGTGCTGTCCAGCTGTGTGCCACAGCTCAGGCTGCTTAGCATCAAACGCACCAAGGTAGAGGCAGCCCCTGTGTGCAGGGAGTCACACATTCTTGGCCTGGCCAGAGCAGCTGGCTGTCCTCAAGGTTTTGTGAATGTTGTATGAGTTTGGAAGCCAGCTCTTAATGAAGCTGAATTTGATTTAGAATCTTGTGTGCCTTCAAACTGTTATTCTGGAGGATTTTGTGTTTTGAGAATGTGTGAAAGCTTAGTTTGCACTCCTCTGATATTGTCTTTGATACTTTAAAGAGCATGTCAACATGCTTAGGTGTTTCATCACTAGTTGAAGTGATTTTCTTTTTTAATTGTAAAGATAGTCATCACTTCACATGTGAGCAGTGGTTTTAAATAAGCACCATTCAATGTTTTCTTGCTCTAAAGCAGTGTGTAATGAGCAGTGTCCTTACTTCCTGAACCCAGGTCAGTGACGTGTCTGCTTTGGCCAAGCTGTGCAGCCTGCAGTCACTCTACCTGGATGGGACAGGGGTTACAGAGGTGTCCCTGCAGCACCTGGCCTCCCACCCTGCCCTCTCAGTACTCAGCCTGGCGGGCATCCAGGTCACCGACGGCAACCGTGCCCTTGAGATTATTTCTGGTGAGACCTCTCATCTTTTGTGTAAATACTGTATGTGACACTAACTGAATTTCACATTTCAGAACTCATCACTCGGACAATTACATGTCGGCTTATGAAAGTAATAATTACTAATTACTCAACTGTACTAGATAATGTCTTGCATGGAAAAGGAACCTAAAGGATATAAGTAAATAAAAGTAAATATTTAGAAAATTGTTTAACAAGCAGCAACAGTAATGGACATAAACTTACAATATGGGACTTTTAGATTTTCAGAAAAGCTTTTGATTAATTAAGGTATAAAGAAAGATTCATTTTCAACTTATAGGTGGGAAGCATTCAGCGAAATGTGGAGTTGAGGATTGATCAGTAGAAAATAAAATACAGAGAAATGGTGAAATCAACATTAGTGGAGTACCACAGAGATAATCTTCCTAATTGTTTTATCAATGGTCTAAATTTCAGGCAGCATGGTGGCTCAGTGGTTAGCATTGCTGCCTTGCAGTATTAAGGCCCTGGGTTCAATTCCTGACTTGGGGTGCTCTTGGGGCGTTCTCCTCGTGTTTGCCTGGGTTTTTGCCGGATGCTCTGGTTTCCTTCCACAGTCCAAAGACATGCTTGTTGGTTAATTGGCTTCTGGGAAAATTGGCCCTGGTGTGAGTATGTGTCTGTATTTGTCTGTGCCTGTGTGTGCCCTTGGATTGGCTTCTTGTCCAAGCTGTACCCTGCCTCGCACCCATTGCTTGCTGGGATAATCTCTGGCTCTGCTGTTACCCTGAATTGGAAGAAGCAGTTAGATGGTGGATAGATGGTCTAGATTTTGGTACATTCAGTAAACTAGTAGAATGTAAAGGTGGTGCCAAAACATGAGGAAACTCTGTAGAAGCGGTTAATGAAATAAAAAAAAAAGATTTATATAGTATTCTAGACTGGACAAACGCCTGGCAGATGACATTTAATATAGCCAAGTTGAGAGTGTTATATGTAGGTAGCAAAATCATGTCTAAATACAAAATGGGACATGATATTACATAAAAAAGACTTGGGTGTTTGTTGATACATCATGTACATATTTCATACAAGGTGGGGAAGCAATTAAAAAGAAAAACAAAGTGTTAGAATATATAGTTAAAAACAGAATTAAAATCTCGAGGGATGTTATGTTTAAATTGCATTTGTAAGATCTCATATAGAATACTGTGTACAATTTTGGACACGACATTACACAAGATACTGCTACTGTGGAATTATTCCATTAAATGTACCTCATATAGTACATTCATGTTCTTAAAGGAATGTCCTATAACACATGATGAAACAGCTGAAAATGTTTAATCTTAAACAGAGAAGATTACAGGGGATCAGATACAAATATTCAAAATCCTTAACAACATTGACAGTCAACCCCATGGATTCCTTCAGGATTAACAAAGAAACAGGAAACGAAGGAAAGTGGGAGTGCATTTCCAAGACTGAAGAACTATCTGGCCTATTGAAGCTAATACAGCTGAGTAAAATCCCTGAATTAATTAAATGCTAACTACCAAAAAGCTAAATATTCAGAATGGCCCTCCTATTTGTAACCTTTCTTTTGTTATTCAAAAAAACAGTAGCTACTAGATCTGTATTTTGTCCTCTAAAAAGTATCCTTTTAGCTTTAGGGATGTACAGTGAATAGCAAATGATGTTAATGAAAGGAACATCCAACAATGAATCGGTTAGGTTTGATTGCCAAATCTTATGGATTATCTTCTACAACATTTTATATTAGAGCTCATGTACAATTCATCTTGAGTTGCTTGGACCAAGTATTTGATAGTTTCTAATTGATGTTCAGTAATTCTGACCATCGTTTCTTCTCACCCAAACTAAGCTACATTTATAGCGGTAAAAACACCAGTATAAACCTTTGAGTAAATTGTTGTTTGTGTATAGGTTCACTAAGCCTAATCCTTCTTGATGGTTCAGTGTGGACTGTTCTCTACAGTTCAGTTAATTAGCACCTCCAGTGCTCCGAGCCTGCGTGTCTTGTGTGTAGTGCGATCTGTGACTGTGTATCTCCACATCGGTCCCACAGGTCTCAGACTGGCTCAGCTCACCCTGCCTGGGCGCCACACAGTGACAGACAGTGGTCTGGCCTTCCTGTCCCGACTGACACTACTTTCAGAGCTTGACCTGACTGACTACACTCATGTCACCGACCTGGGCACAACGCACCTTGCCACCATGACCAGGTCAGCAGCCAAACCTTGAAATCCTCAACTTTCAGCTCTTCTAGGAAGACATTAGAAGAATGGTATCATGCTCTTATACACTGGATAATATCAGTGTATTACTGTCTCACCAACTTTCTTTCATCTTCTTGCATTCTGTGAAGGTGTTCTACTTGTTTACAGCTATTCTGTCCCTGGCCTAGGAACAGCCTTGGGTTGTTTGAAAATGTACTGTAAGACTTTGAAAGCAAAAGACAATTGATATAGATGATGTAGATAAATTGTTCTGTTGTCAGTACATCCTTTAAAACACCAGTCAATTATTTTAGAGATTTACATTTTACAGTACGCACAAAGTCGGCCAGTTGTGCCCCCCCCGGGAAATAAGGACCTGCAGCAGGCAGAACTCTTAAGAATAGTGGTTCCCATGAGATGAAAGAGAGATGAAAGAAGCAACAGGCTTCACTGGCAAGAGCCATTTTCTTCATTTCCTGAAAAAAACCCAACATATACTTAACAATGCAGACAGAAACTTAAAACTAACGCTGACCCGGATTTTGTGTTGTCTTTTCCTAGTGTGACTGCATTTCCTGCAGACATGTTCTGGGCTGTTGTGATATGTTGTGTGTTTTCACCCCCTCCCAGGCTGAAGAAGCTGTCCCTTGGTAACACACTGGTGACCGACAGTGGCCTGCTGCCCCTGCGCAGCCTGCAGGAGCTCATGGAACTGTGTCTGGACCGCACAGCTGTCACTAGCCGCGGCGTGGCTGCTTGCATCACCTGCCTGCCCCACCTGCAGGTAAAACTCTCCCTGTTCCTGTCAGCCGTGGATTGTGATCTCTCTCTGCCCGATATGTGTCTGCCTTTAATCTGGCTTCCTTATTTATTTTTCTGACTTCATACCTAAGTGTATGAAGTTACAATTCTGACTATATTTATATTTGTCCTTCATACACAGTAGTCTCATTGTAATTATTGTCTATAATACTATTCCTATACCTGCTGGCACCCATTTCTGAGTTCCTTTCCACACTGTGATAGTGCAGATCAGAGACTGACTACAGTACCTGGTCATTAACTGTATCTTTAGTATTGTATCTAAGATACAGATGCTGGTAATGATTAGCTGTCACTGCTTATCACCCAGGTGGAGTTACACTTCACTGCTGGATGAAGTGGGTCTCCTCTTTTGTGTAAACAATATTTTGGAATCATTCAAGATGAAAAGTGTTATATAAATGGAAATAATCATTACTACTACTATTTGTCAGAGGAGCTAAAGGAAAGTTTGCCCTTTCTTCTCTCTGTCACCCGTTTGGTGTACATCAACATTTTATCATACTCTGTCCTCTTAGTGGGTATTTTTATTAAAAATATTCCCCTTTTCACTCTTTGAATTTAGGCTTGAGGATTAATGCATAGTCCCGGAATGGATCTTGTTCTGATTTCTGTCTGTATTTTTCAGGTGCTGGGCCTGGCCAGCACTCAGGTGGGCGACACGGTGGTGAGGTGTGGACTGCTGTACTGCACGCAGCTCCTGAAGGTCAACCTGAGTCGCACCCGCATCACTGATAAAGGTAGGAGCCTAGAATGGAGCAGTGGTGGCTCCTCAGGCAAGCACTTGGGATTTCCGAATATTACATTGTCTAACACACATTAGTTATCCCTTAAATTAGCAAGGAACCTCTTAAAGATTTGTCAGGGACTATTATTTTATGAATAACTGTTTTCACCCATTTGAAAAACAATGAAATGTTTGAATGGTAGAACAGTTGCTAATCCCCTTAAATGAACACAGTACTCAGGTTGCTGCTGGTATAGGATGGGCCAGGATGGGTGTTGAAATTGAGCAGTGTCCAGGTGGAAATGAGGAGGGGGCCTACTTTGAGCTGCTGGGCTTGCAGGGTAATGGCAGAGGCTGTGGCAGGGGAGAAAGAGCTTCCAATCAGAACACTGTGACAGCTCAAAGTGAAAAGAGACAAGAGAGAAAAGGCAGAAAAAAACAATTTTGTGACCAAATATCTAAAAGTATGGATGGCATAATTATCTTGTGATGGAATCTTGTGCTACAGAGGAAGTCTCTGTCTCTTACTTTGCCTTTTCTGGTTTTGTTCCTGTATTCCTGTCCTTGCTCAGTTTTTCTTACCCTGACACTTTCCTCGTTATTTTCCACTGGCTTGCTTTTTCCTCAGGCCTGAAGTGCCTGCGTCAGATGAGGCTCAACCAGGTCAATCTGGACGGCACAGGTGTGACTCTCACGGGTATCGCAAACCTTATTGCCTCCTGTCCCAACATCACCAGCATCCGTGCCAGCCAAACACGGGCACTGCCCCCTGAGCAGGTTTCTGACGACGATGACCTTGCTCCCTGATCTGTGGGCATCTGCCAGGGAAGGGGCTCTGTGGCCCTGGCACTAGAACTGCTCAAAGAGCAGTGAGGTGAGGGAACTGACATGGGGGCCTCATGCAGGACCCTTCTGTACTGTAGTCCGAGGTGTGATCTGGGAAACATCTGGACTGGGACAGAACCACAGTATGACAACAATATGACAATTGATATTGTTTTCCCTTTTATCCTTTTCTTAATATTATTCTGACTAGGGTGTTAAGTATTTATCACCAGCTAATATAATTTCCATTGGTGCATGGTTGATGGTTGTAAGTTGTGCATAAGTTTGATTTATCTGGTAAGGAACCTAGACTGATACCGATTATTAAAAGATTGTTCTGGCAGGAGACACAGCACCGAGTTAATGTTCTCAAGTTTGAGGTTCTGGTGATGGTATATTTTAAAATTTAATTCTTCCAATTCCAAATTCAGTGTGATCCTATAGAGGCACTATTGTGGATTAAGAGAACATTTGTATTTCTTCTATTTCAAGAACTCTTCTTTCAGTTTGGTATGGTAAGACTGTGGTGACATCACTTTCAGTCTTCTTCAAGATAATCGTGCATCTTGATTAGGAAGCAGGTTTGTGAAAACAGGTCTGGCTTCTGTCTTTTCAGATTTTGAACAAGCTCAGGTTGCACACTTCAAATGTATTTTTATATGGAAAAAAAACAAATTGTTGATGAGAATAGAGAACTTACTTTCACACAAAACTGTAGAGCTTGTAAAGGTGGTTTAAATATCTCAATGTTTACCAAGGTGTAGAGTGTTTTGCTACCTTGATCCTTAAGTTTTTTTTAATAACCTGAACTATTTTAAAATTGATTTTAAACTCCACTGCAAAGACGTGTGATTTTTCTTTTAAATGTGAAAGCCTAAGCCCACCCATTTTATTTTCATGAAAGTGGAAAGATGCAGCCTTGTTTGTGTTCAGTAGTTCTGTTGAAATTTTGTTTATTAAGATCTGTATTACATAAAATGTACCCCCTATAATCAAAAAAGAAAACACCTGTAGAATTACAGGCCACCATCTTAGGAAAAGATAAAATAAACTACAGATTTCACTACACATCTGTTGTAGCTCTGAATTTAATACTAACCAGGTTCATAAATATTTCTGGTTCACTTCTGCAGCACAGAAATACTCCAGGATTGTCTCAGTAAAAAAGAACATATGAGCTCTGACATTTGGAATTTGGGTATTTTGCTGCAGTGTGACATGAGAATCCACTTACTGAATCATTTCCTGGTGCTACTGTTAGGGGACTTCTTTCCTGACCCAGAATCCCTCCCCTTATTTATTCACTTACAAGGCAGAGCTGCCAATACTCTGTCTTTAAAAACGGTGATTGGAAAAGAGACAATTTGTATTCAACAAAACCATTCTCAAGGCTGGATTAGGTGAAGTTGTTTTAACTAAAAATATTGATCATTGTTTTCTTTTGTGAATTCTTAAGGATTCTAAATATTCTTTTCTGTTCCTGGTCTGCCTCCCAAATACCCACTTAAGTTACCCACTGCAGCAGAACCAGTTACATGCTTTCTATAGGCTGAACAGAGCAGGTATTTGTTACAGATACACAATCAAAAATAGAAGGGAGGTAGACAATGTAATGTTGTAAGCATGTCTGTGGTTTCCAGTCTGTATTTTGAATATTTAATGGACCAAAGGTTCAGAAATCCCATGAGCAGTACAAATCTAACAGTGTAATAATTTTAACAATATATGACTTTTTCAATACTTTGTCACTCAGTTCTGAAGCCTTGGCATGGCTTGCTCACTGCATCCTTGTAGCAAGACTTAATGCTGTACACTGCTGCATGAAGCAAAGCATGTTGATTAAGGTACCCATTTGCACAAAATGTAGTACTCTCCTGCCTTGTTAGTGTATTAGCCTTTATTAATAGTTGCTTCTGCTGGTGTGTGGAGCACAGAAAGAAACCTGTTCCACTTAATCACAGACTGTTTTAATTGTTGAGTTTAATTGTTGAGAAACTTTATTTGAGTTTGATTTTTAATGAGTTCATTCCTTTTGCTGCTTTGATTTAAAAAAAAAACACCAAAGCAAGGAACATGCAAGGCGTGTTGCATAGACCAACATTACCTTACACTTCCCAGGACTACCTGGTAATTGGATACTGTTTGAAAAGTAGGTGTTTTGATTTCCTGAATTGAAACTTTAAGACTTTAAGTGGCATCAGGCTCATCAGGATCATATACAGTATAACCATCTTAGCCAGATTCTCAATGAAGCAATGTGTGTATAGAAGCCTATATTTATATAGATATCCTGTATTTGAAATGTGGATTGTAATGAAGTACATAACTACCATAGGCAAATGCACTGTAAAAATCCACTCAACTGCAGAAATAAAATGTTTTCAAAAGTTTGAAGTAGTGCCATTTTGTTCTGTTCAATATCTGTTAAAATTAAAAACCTTTGCATGCAATGAATCTGTTTCATATGAAGGCAAAGAACAGAATAATACTTTGTACAACTAATTTAACAAGTTTGCTTCAGCCACATAGTGAATCCGGGTTCTTCACAGTTCAAAAACCTGTAAACAGTCCACACTGGTTAAGCCAATAATTAAAACAGTTAAGTTGGGTAGAATATCTCCAAAACCTGGTATGAAAATCACTAAGCTGTGATCTTCAACACTACTACCTCTCAAAAAGTGAACTGGCCGTTGCACAGTAGGCAATTAATTTTTATTGTGCAAGACAAGTAGTTAAAAGTAGGCTTCCATGTTTTTGATGATGGTTAAAGGGATCCCTCAAGAAACTTAAATTAATTTTTTAAATAAAAGGCTTATAAAAATATTCAGTGTTTGTTAGAAGCCCCAGTGCACACTAATAACAGCTCAGTAGAGAACACTAGATGGAGCAAGAGATCCCACCGAGACCACTATTTGCTAGGGACAAACAGGCTTTCATCTGTATTGTATTCTTCTTGAATTTCATCACTTGATGGAATCCTAGTCAAATCACACTTCTTTTTAATAGGCCGTTTTGCTTCAGTGTATATGGTTTTCTCTCTCTTCCAATATCTTATTTTAACTGTTTATTAAGCTTCCATCCCGTGTACCAGCATATCGATGATTGTGGACCATGTCCTTCATCCCTGTCTTCTTCCTGGACTCCCCATACCCTTCTCTCGCACTTACTGTGCCAAAGCCTTTGTATTCCCTCGCATCCCTGTAAAGATCCATACCCATGTGCGGACTCTCAGGCAGTCTCCCGTTCTTCATCTCTTTCTCTGTTGCTGAGTTTCTCTAGCCCATCTCTAATCTGCTGCATTGCTTCACTGTCTCCTGTAGCCTGAGCCAAGAGCAGGGCCTCCCTGTATACATGCCTAGCCTGGACCAGCTGACCTGAGACAGAGAGAAACAGCTTGTCCACATACACTTCTTGTACAGTTAATTTTCAATTTCTGCTTCCAATCTACACCAGTTATGACAGAGGCATTAATGTGACTTATTTCACAGCCAGGTAGTGCATTTTGCTGCCTCATCTAACAAACGGAGCACATGTACGCCTTTTTTCTGAAAAGTGAATTTTAAACACAGAAATTAAAATCATACCAGAATAGCAGTATGAGATAGTATAAGCAGTTCAGACCTTAATGACTATGTGAAATGTTTTTTTTTTTCCTTATTAAAAAACAGTCTAGCATAGGAGACAGGGCTTTGTAATATGTAATTGCCTAGGCTGTGAACCCTGATACTCGTCTCTGGAGACCACAGCGCCAACCTCCTTACCCTGGTGCAGCAAGATGCCTGCCATGTTGCAGAGCAGCACGTGCTGGTCTGGATGTTCAGCCTTCTTCGCCAGCTCCAAGGCCTGGCTCATCTGCTCCATGGCCTCCTGGTGCCGCCCCTGCAGGTCGAGCACTGTAGCCAAGTCATTCATCAGCACAACAGTCTGCACACAGACACAAATTAATGTTAGTTTGGTTATTATTTCTAATGTTTTAATGGATTACATATGCATTTCAAACATGGAGACAGAGGTTCGGTGCTGAATAGTACATGAGTACAGTATGCTCTTATGATGGCCCAGTCAGGTCAAACAGATTACACTTCAGTTAAGTCAGTGGTATACCTACTCCAGTCCTGGAGGGCTGTAGCAGTTAAGGGTTTCTGTTCCACCCCTGCTCTTGATTAGCTAAATTAAGTGGACCGATTTAACATTTTCAAAAGAGAGTGATATAACCTACTGGACTCTGGCCTTCAAGGACAGGAATTGTGGATCACCTCAGTTGCTATGCTTGAGGACAGCATATGAACATTTACCTTACATCCATCCATTTTCTAACCTATTTATTCAATTCAGGGTTGGAGGGAAGTCAGAATCCTGGTAAGAAACAGGAACAAGGTTGGATACACCCTAGATGAGATGCTAGTCCACTGCAAGGCACACACAGATGCAAACACGTACACACTCACACCAAGGTCAATTTTTCCAGAAGCCAATTAACCTACTAGTATGTTCATGGGCTGTGGGAGGAAAGGGAGGAAACCAGAGCACCCATGTGAATATAGGAAGAATATATAGACTCCACACAGACAGCAACCCAGGACCCCTGCCCTGTGAATCAGCAATGCTAACCAGTGCTCCACAGTTCTGCTGTTTACCTATCTGAAATTGACAGATTCACACTGCTTTTAATAGTGCTTTGCAATTGTATTATACCCATCCATTTTCAGCAACCACTTTATTTATTAAAGGGTTGTGACGAACTGGAGCCTAACCCAGTAGGCACAGGGCACAAAGTGAGAACACACCCCAGGCAGGGTCCCAATTCATCGCAGGGCACACAGACACACACACCGTCATGCATGTATAACATGCAGGGAGAGACCAGTTAAGGGGACAGCATGGTTTTGGACTGAGAGAAGAAATGCACACAAACAAGGGGTGAACATACAGATTCCACTTGGCAAGATTCAAACCCAGGACTCACTGCCCCATCACACCACCCTTTGTATTACATATAAAAATAAAAGTCTTCTGTTACAATAAATACTGCAATTGTGTAAAATAATTGAATTTCAAGTAGAAAATAAAAGTTTTATATAAAAAAGTGATTACCTTCACTTTAATCTGTATTTTCATTCTTTGCAGATTTCAAATGCCAGATATAAGCAGAAAATATGTTTAAATTAATAATAAATGAGAACTACATGTCAAAAATAATTTTCACATATACCCTATACAGTATATATCTCCTAAGTGGTAATAACCATTACAAATTAGGCATTTTGGAAAGACACTTAAATCCTCTCCCCAAGTGGAGACCACTTTCAAGAACATGCCCCAGTACCTGAGGGTGTGCCTCCCCCTGCTCCTCGCGGCAGATCTGCAGGGCGCGAAGGTACTTCTGGTGGGCCTGATCCAGCTGGTGCTTTGTAGTGAGGTAGCGTGCGTATGAGTCCAGACACAGGCCCAAGAGAAGGCGTGTGTTGCTCCTCTCCTCCTCTGTGGGCTCGAGGAAAATGCCACTTCATTCACAGTTACAAGCCACTAAAGGTTAATGATTACTGCAAAATGAAAGTACCTCTAATAGAGAGGAACTTCATAAAGCATGGAGGGTCATGGAAATTGTTTCAAAAACACAAAACTGTAAGAAAAAAACTCTTCTGGTTGGGTGCACACACTGAAGAAGAAAGGTATGTCTCTTTACCAGGTAGGGTGCCCTCAGGGAGGTCCTTCTGCTTCTCTATCTTTGCCTCCAGAGATTCAGCACAGAACTCAAAGCCATGCTCAGCCAGCTCGGGCCTGTGACAGACAGCAGCAAAGTGAAGGTGGCACAACTGGGCCTCCAGCAGAAGAAACACTTCACTACGTGGAGCAAAATTACATTTACTTTTATTACTCCACAAAACAGAGCGTTTGCCCAATTCCTGTGCACAAATCGGGCATGTTACAGTGTAGCAATATGAAGTGACATCACAGTATTTTTAGAGTAGAGTATTTTGACCAGCTGTATCACTGATTTGGGAATTAAAACACCTTAGACCGCAAGGCCCTGCAACGAATTGTGAAAGCAGCTGAAAACATTATTGGAGCATCCCTTCCTTCCATTCACGCCATCTATCACAGACGCTATATGCACAAGGCTTCCAGTATAGTAGATGACCCCTCCCATAACTTCTTTGCCCTCCTACCATCTGGAAAAATATATCGCACAATACAGGCTAGCTCCACCAGACTCTGTAACAGCCTTTTCACATAGTCTGTTAGGCTTCTCGACACCCTGCTATTTACTTGCACCAACTCCAATTCCAGAAACAAGGTTTCAACTCCCCCAGTGTTTAGTGTATATTGTGTGATGTATTTTTTATACTATTCTGTAACAGTTTAATTGCACTATGTATATATCATGTGTACACTACCTCTGTTCCGGTGTCTTAGTTTGCATGATCTTATTTATTAATATTAGTATTATTAGTCCTGTCTACACTATTTCAGTGTCTTGTCTGTAATTGCATCGTGGGCCAGGAGGAACAATATTTTGTTCCACTGTATCACCTGTTCTTGATTTAAATTTCTGGCCACTGATGTGTGAGCAAAGACCAAGAGAACCACGGTCAGCAGTATAGACAACAGAATCATTTTCAGAGAAAAAAATTGGAAAAACCTCTTTCCCCTCAAAACAACACTTTGCTTGATGGGATGAAGGCTGGTTGAGGGAGTGGACTAAATCATTTGAAGAATAAACAGTGACAATGCTAAAACAGTGTAACAAAACTTTAAAACAGAACTTCCATTTAGTATTACCCATCAAAGAATGGTATTAATGGGGAAATACTGTGAATGGAGATGGAATAAACTCACTTGTTCTGGGAAGCATATATGCTGGCCAGCTTCAAAGACATCTCAATCACTGCATTGTCATCCTATAGAAGACAGAGGAACACACTAAGTACAGATGAAAACAAGATGGCCAACTGTTCACATTTTGTGTGGGGAATTCTGTCTTTTTATAGCCAAGCACACACACAGCTAACAGGCACATTGTGCAATATGACTATCTGAGTATCACTGAATATTTAATTTTAGAGTGTATTTCAGTGCCTGCATGGTCCTTCCCAATTTTGGATTGAAACTAATGTGCATAATACGCACTTGGAGGGATGTAAAAATGAAATCTGAAGACTGCTTCCTAAAACTAAAGGAAATATTTTGTGGGTTTAAATAGAATAGCTCAACCATGGGCCGGTATTCTCCTAGTGGTGTAGATACCAGCTCACAAGGTTACTTGCCTCTTGTGCCCCGCTGGCCAGCAGAAAACTCATAGCAGCCTTGAACAGCTTCTCTGCCTGTGACAGAACAAACCACACACGAGACTGTCAAATCATCTGCAAACACAGCACCTCAGTGAAAGCCCAGACCAGAGATCTCAAAGAGCTCCTGACTTACTTCGGGAAACTGGCCTTGAACAAGAGCAAGGTTCGCCATCTAGGAACACAGAACACATATTATTCACTAAAATATCAAGTCACCTCCTTACTGTTTACAAAAACAGGTTTGTCATTCTGGTTGACACCCAGCATTTGCTGGATTTTAATTCAGTTGAGTCTTCAATTTAAAACCATTAATCCAACTACTAATTTGTTTCCTTGGCTGTAATCTGTCCTGGTGCCCCTGTAGTATATATATTCCCAGTATCTCTGGGCCTCTGTACTCTTATTATAATCTGTTGTCTCAATGACTATGAGCTCCAGGAATATGCTCTTTAAAGTTTCTCTATCACAATAAAGTGATAGATAGTGATAAGTCTTACCTGTGGAGAACACAACAATAGAAATGAAGGCATACAAAATAATTTAAGATTGTGTTATGAAGGACATTACAGTACATTAAAATATTTGATGCTTTTTTAGAGTGAGGAATGTAAGGTGTATACCTTACTTATACTAGTCTTAATACAAATATGTGGGATTATCTAACCCGTGTGCCTCCCTTCTATAGCATTCACATGTGTAGCAGTATGTGTGTGCAGCGCAACACAGATGTCAGCTCTGTGACAGGAACAGTACCATGCTGTACGTGTATGTGATGGCTTGGGTGTTCTTGGCCTGGTGTGCCAGTCGGATGGCCTGGTGCAGAATCCTGTTTGCAGCCTCCAGCTCCCCCTGCATGATGCTCAGCTGAAAAACACAGTGGAGTGATCAGCAAAGCACTGGAAGCTGCAGGTCAGTACTGTCAGCTAGGAGAATCTTATTCCCAAAGCCTGGTTGTTGTTGTAAGACGTCTATCTCTTAGAGCAGTGACAAACACCTTGCCAATCCAGAATTTCAATCCATTCACACCTAATGTAAAAGCAGTCTAGATTTTCAAACAGATTGAAATGATCAGGTATGGTGTGGATTTAAAACCTAGAATGATGGTGTTGGGGGGCACAAGACATGAAAAATGCTGGCTTATAGCACTGAAACACTTTTTACCATGAACTGCTGAACTGCACAAACGTGTTCCCCAGCTTATCTGGGGAAGCACTGGGCACTAGGCAAGGTACATCCTGAGTGAGACACCTGACCTTGCTGCATCTCAAACTTTGTTTAAAACATAATAAATCCAATTATCCTTGTATGTATTGATGACACTCAATTGTCCCAGGCACAGAATA